CTGGTAAACCACCTTTTGGACACAGTCAGCTTGATGGAGATTTAATAAGTGATATCATGGGTGGACTACGACCATTTATGCCTGATTCAGCACCAGAAGAATATAAGAAAATAGCCAAGCAGTGTTGTGATGCTGATCCTGATAAACGTCCAACTGCAGATAGACTTTGGATTGACATGTATGAGCTTGTTAGGAATGTGGAAAACTCCGACAACGGCACATGGACTACCATTTATCATATAACGTAATAGGTATCACGTCTCGAGAAGGAAAGTAAAACTATTACTTATTACTATAGAGTTCTTATCGCTGGCGGTCTACATACATCATCCCAAAGTTTAGAATCGAATTAGGAGTCATAGTAAGGGAGATTTAGCGGTAATTATAAGATAACAATTTTTGGTTTTGCTCAGCCAATTGTCTACTGGTCGGTGTTACGCCTGGGTGCCAAGACCCGTCGTTATGTACACAGTCTTTTAAAATTACAATTTATTTAAAGAATTTGATGCGAAGTGCCTAATGCCTTAATATTAAGACGTTTGAACCTTAATTTTCTCACTTGACATTCGCTTTTTATATATATTTTCTGGCCGGTAGCGAATTTTATCGTATCGCTTTAATTCAAAGTGGTTCGTTCACTATGAAATAACGTGTTCCACAAATCCACCTCACCTCATTCATAATCGTATTAATGAACTGAGACTGGTGTCCCTTGTTGATTACATCATTGTTTACCTGCTTCAAACAGCAACCAGTTTGAAAAGCGTAAATCTGACCGATACAGAATGTAAAAAGCCTGTCGAAAAAAATATATTCGTAATTGATAGGAATTAATGTCAGCGTTCTTCCTGACTAGGTTACCTTTCCTGACTCGTCAGTCTCCTTATTCTGAAATACATTTGTTATTTGACACTGACGCTGATATTTATACTGTTTGTGATTGCGACTGATGGCATATTAATATTAATGCAATTTATTTGCAAGAAAAAACATTTGATTTGATGTTGTTCATAAATATGCAAACAAGCTTGAGCACAATGGTTTAGGATTCTTGTGGATAGTTATCCCGCTAGAACAAATGTCGAAGTTGGATGATATCAATCGATGGCAATTACTGTGTAAATTCAGTATGGAACAGATGATTACACCAGTAATACAGACCAATGTCATTATAATCACACGTATGTAAACGCGTGTTTTGAAAAAGTTTATTACATCCTCAAAAGTAAGGGGTGAATATGATTCTCCAATTTTAGTGATAAAGGAACTGCGAAGCAATCTATTCCTTTCCATAGCGGCTTTATGTAACTACAAGAAAGATTTTTCTATTTCTTAGTTGTAACAGACAAACCTTTTTCCGAGTGATGCCATATGGTTACGATCATGAATCTTTCTACGTCCACGCATCTCTTGAAGGGATTTCCTAACGTTCAAACTGTGGCCCGACTAACATACAATTAACGGCAAATCCGTTTACGAGAAAAGCCTTCGTAATGGAGATAAACTATCCTTCAACGTAAATCATGTTGTCCCCATACAATAGCTAAATGACAACAACTTTCGTTAGCATTCGCCTGTAATCGTCCAGTAACGCCCAGCAATTGTCAATAATCGCAAGTAAACGCTCAGTAATCGCCCAGTAATCGCAAGTAATCGCCAGTAATCGAAAACCTCTTCTCTATAAAAACTAGCACTAGGACTGCTCGTACGTACCAAAAGAGTAACTGAAACTGTACAGGAAGCTGTAAAGTATTGATTGCCGGCGAAGAATCGCAGAAGTTTATTGAGTTTTCGAAAATTTTCGCAGTCAAGTGACTTCGTGTGTGTAAATTTCAGAGGTTTCTATAATTTTGAAAACTGCTATAATAAAATAATGACCGAATCAAGAGATCTTATTACTGTAAGATTGGCCAGCCGCGATATAGAAGATTATGTCACTTACATATAAACTTTATTATATTAAAAACTTTTAATATATAGTAAATTTCTCAATATAGTGAAGAAAAACCCCATTCCGTCAACTTTACTATATCAATGCTTGACTGTAATATGCTTTTTTTATCGTTATAATGATACCAATCGTAAACTTTTAATTATGGCGTGTATATTTTATTAGAAACATATTCTAGTACAATGTGCCGACACATAGATAAAGTATTTGACTACAGTTTTTGTATCGATTCAGATCCTCGCAGATATAACAATCGGATCGTCTGTTAAGGGTTCTTATATAAATTACATTTGCTCCTAAACTCAATTGATGCTTACAGGGGCATATATGCAGCTAGTCGATCACAAAATCCATAATCTATTGTCACTTTAATACTACGCCGCATGCAAAAACACCGCTGGATATAAGACTTTGCTTGGCCGAAATAGGGGGCGTTTGTTAATCTTACATACCCATACCCCTATTTTTCTATATACGGTACTAACATTACACACGTCATATCGATATCCTCATTATTGTGATACTAGTTTTATTTTTGCGATCTCTATATATACGTTAAAATATCTGAAGCAATTCAGTCGCTATTTTTAGCAACCCAAACAGCGTTTGAGCAAGAAGAGTATGTGGTATTTAAGCGATGCTAAAAATAAACTGAATTTAAATTGTTGCACCTCCAAAACCAAAGTGGGTTCATTCAAGTTTTAGTATAGCAAGTTTTAACCCCTCTTTATGCGTAAATATGCATTAGTTACTTATAGAATAAACCCCAATTAAGACATTAATTGCGAAAAATGTTCGTTTGTTAATGAGCCAGGACAACACGTCCGATAACATGTTTATAGTCAAAAATAAGACGGTAATACTTTTGTAATACATATTATTAACTAGTTGTAATAGTTATTTGTCTATTAGAATAATCGTAAAAAGCCATAATAGTAATAAAATATACGTAAAGAAGACAAGCAAATATGCACTTTCTTTTAAGGTAAAAGTTTTATTTTAGAATAGCCAATTCCGTTCTTAAATTAAGCAAATTAACTCGTTTTTTTACAGACAGTTAACGTTGACGCAAATATGAGTAAATATGCAAAATGTCATTTTGTTGAATTTATGACGTACGGTCAACCTTCATAAGCTATAAAGGTCTAGAAAGAATTTTTGACGTTGCAGCAATTTAATAATTAGAAAATAATAATGACGTGTTGTATTTGATAAAAGGGTAGACAATTTTAAGCCTATCATAAAAAAAAATTAGTAATTTTGCAATCGACGTATGTTCCATTCGGTATTCCAAACAGACTGTAGCAATTCAAAACTATGAGCTGAGATAGTTTCGAACTAAATAAGTTGGTTCGGCCACACTCTCAATCCAACTGCTGAGACAAATGTGCGATCAGTATGTAAAAATTGCGTTCGTAGACTCAACAAGACGGGATTTTTTGGCAACAGTAATCTGCAATACCCCTAGTGGCAATACTATGCAATAAGGGGTAATACTTTGTAAGACAAGTTTTTAATGAGTGGAAATAACGTATATTTAACTAGTTTATTCTTCTCGCTCGGTCACATTTTTCTGAAAAATCAAACATCTGATACATGTACATTATCGGGAGTAACACAGCGAACGTACCCCTACATATAATTCAACCAACCAAAAGAAGTCGATATGGCGTATATTAAAATAGATTGTCTCAAACATGAAATGAATTTGAATCGTGCAATTGCTTTACTTATTAACAAATCATCCTCTTTGATTAAATATTACATATTAAACAAAAAAAATAGGCTTTAATAAAATTTAATTAACAATTTGATATGCCTCACAATAATACTTACAGAAGACAAATAAGTATATTCTCTAGTTATTATTGAGCGTCCAAGTGATCTTATCTTCTGACTATTAGATATAATTTGTTTCTTATTGGAACTTGTTTGCAAAGGAAAACAGTTTGTTTGCGCACATTGATAATATTTAACACTTAGGTGGAGAACAGATTGTTATAATCAAGCAAAACTTTTACTGTCAAGTTGTACTCGTAACATTTTATTTGGTAGAAAATAATTTCAATTTATGAAGCATGCAAATTAAAATAGTGTTTCAAAATAAAGCTAATGTGATATAATACGAATAAAATACCTTGGCTATTCATAATCAAATTTTAGGCATAGCTTTAATTTGCGACATTTTCGTTGTTCATGTAGTTGGCGATAACGTTTGTGTCACACACAACACACACTGCTAATTTTAAACTTGGTATTTTCCGTAAATTAAAATTAACTTTATAATTATCTTTGTTTTTCGCGTTTTTGTATTTATCAATCCAAAAGTTGGCTAATTAAACATACTTTTACATAATACATATTTACATAGTCTTACAATTATTCAACGAAGCAGTATATGATGTGCAAAACGCACTTATATTAGGAACGCTAAAACTCGCAATTACACGAGACAGTTAGCATCAACGGACAATGTTAGTTGACAAATCTTTTCTTATCAGCATCAGCCGATTTCAGCATCCGCCCTGACAGTTATTACGTTTTTTTAAAATCCCGGAAAGAAGTCAAACGAGCCGAATGTATCAGTAACTATTTTAACTTTCTAAGCTGTGTAATAACAAGTTATAATAAAAGCGCAGTAATAAATACTCGACTTGAGTAAATGGGCCCAAAAATTATTTTACTTTTACACTTGTGATAAAAAGATAGAGTAATATTTGTCTGTACATTATATTAAATGCTGCATCATATTAAATTGTTATAAGGAGAACACAAATAAATATCAATTGAAGGGAGACATCGGGGGTGTTTATTGCATCAGGAGTAGTTTTTATTGTCCCGTACATAAACGCCATCGGTGATAGCGGACTTAAGCTGCGGATTAAAAGATATATAAGCAAGTTTTAGGAGAGAAGACTTACGAAAGAAAAATAAAAATAAAATTACAAAAAAATAAAAAGAAAAATAGAAAACCATTTCCAACAAAAACTTATTGTTATTATAATAGACAAAGATTACACCTCATTTTAAAAAAAAGAATTCAACTAGTATGCTCATTTTTCCAACACCTCTATGTCATTCTACAGATACCCTTACTTCTCATGAACGCAATCTTTTAGATAATCCGCCTTATGCTCTCAGTATGTCGCTCAACTCTCTTACTAATCCAGGCCGTAGGCAAAACGAAAACCAAAATTCGAAGTTTCCCCGGCCCTCCAATTCTTGGATTATTTTTCGCACAAATTTTGCGAGCAGATTACGCTCGCAATACCCTAATGCTTTATACAAAGTTCAAGACGTTTCCAGGCTGGCTTCCATGGAATGGAATAGTCTGCCAATTTTAGTCAAAAAATACTTTGATATCCTTGCTAAATTGGCTTTACAACGTCACAAAAAAACTTATTTGGGTTACATTTACAAACCAAACAGAATGAAGCAGAACAAAAAAAAGAATTGGACCTTTAAAGAAGTAAACAGAGCTAAATTTATTGAACGTGAAATTGATAATAATAATAAGCAAGAAGAGGCCGGGAAGCAGATGGATAACTCTACTCAACCAGATAAACTTCAAACTTTGGATGATTATACTCAATTAAATGTCAGCAACCAATATGAGCAACTCCAAACTTTAGACAAATATACGCTATTAAGTAACTATGTCCAACGGAATGAATATGAACACCCTCAAGCGCCTAGCGCATATGCTCTATCAAGTGACTACGTTCAACAGAATGGACATGAAAACCAAACGTCTGGCAAATATGTTCTACTGGAGAACCTGAACAAATATGAACAACTTCCGGCTTTGGATATACACTTTCCATCGAACGAATTCGTTCGTTTTATCGAATATGCTCAAAGTGATTACGGTCATTCGCTTGAACGCGATCAGCTGAACGGATGTGAATACATTAATGAATTCGATGGATGTATTCTATCGGGTGAACCTTTCCAATACAACGAATACGATCAAAGAAACCGATGTGCTCTATCAAATGAGTATTATAAATTAGTATATGTTAATGAGCAGCAGCACTTATTGGATGAGATTGGTTTGCACAATGGCGAATATGACATGCACAATAACGAATACTACGACATTTTCATTTAACAACAACTTGCCATGTTTTTACTACAAAATCGGCGCAGACTCGCCTGAGGATCTGTCATTTCATCTAACTAGTCGGCTGGTTGAACGAAAAGTGCTCGTTAACCGGCTATTTATTAAACACATAACTTCTTTTTGTTCTATCTCTCTTCAATAACGATAGAGTAAGCTAATTCAAATTTCTACTAACTTTGTCTTTATACTTACATCAATCCCATTTGCTTAGTTTTTCATTGACTCAAGATTTGAGTATAATTAACGCATGACGTTGAGCATACATGTTAATAAATCAAACATGTCCGCAAAATTATGCATATTGTTTACGAAAGCCAATCCGGAATAAGATAACGTCCTCTGAGTGTGTGAAAGTTTTGACACAGTGGAAAATTATCTCAGCGATAAACAAATCTGCATGAAAACGTATGGCTTGCAGGATGAGATTGGCTCCTGCGCCAAATACTACATAAGATGAATGGATTCTAACCCTACATTTGCTCAACGCATTTACCTGGCGCTTAATATTGTTCTCTTACTCACGTAATTAAACCTGTACCACATTGCAAAATTTCTCGTTAACTTCCTTGTCGACCAAAACCCCCACTGATTAAATGCTATAATATTAATATTTCATGTTCAGACACAATCAAATCGCTTATTTCAAATCTAAACTTCTTTCTCAACTTTGACTTGGTTATGTGTCATTCAAAGTTTCTTTGTTGCACTGTATGGAGAGTTATGCTTCGGCATTTGACATCCGTGTGCGACCTTAATTTTTTGGAGAAACTTCTCCTGAGTGACCAGATGTTACACACATTGTCATACATCCCCCTTTGCGAAGAACTATTTATATATATACGTACAATACCTGTCTCAAGTTGCTGTATTAAATTGTTAACCGATAGCCAACAATGGGCATACGTAATGCTACATTCTCCCTGCTTGAGATGATGACATTATGCCGTTCGATATTCTGATTGTTCCTAGTACTAGTGACAATATTATGTTACACGTGAAAATTGTATGTTGTTCATAGTTTGATCAAAAGCCGAAATTTCAATCATACAAATAATGATATTAATATATGCAAGTAACACTTTACCAAAGCAAAGATATGTAAGTGTCAGTTATTCTTGGTAGCCAATCAATTCATTCTCAAAGTCACTGCCACTCAGACTTGTAAGAATTTCTGATTTATGAAGCCTGCAGATTATCTAGAATTGATCTACAAATTTCCTGGCTACATTACAAGAAATGAGTCTGATGTGTTGTCTATGTCATGAGACTATTGCAAATGTGATATGATAAAATAAAGATACAGCTTGTGGGTGCAATGCAATGTATCAGTACTATTTAGCTTTATTCCTCCATTGCCTTGATTTGTGACTTCTGCTGAAGGGTAACTTTAATGATGTTGTGTTGATGACACTGGCTTATTGACACAAAATCTCTATTGGGACCTGCTTGTCATCACCTACTATTACTACAAAGCTCAGCATCCCAATTACCAGATCCATCTTCCAATAGTAATAGTAAGAACTGACACTATAAAGAGTTTCAAAGATTATTTCAGTGTTTATAGGATTGGAATTTTGCATGTTACAGATGTAATGTGTATAAAATTGAACCAAGAGTTGATAAGAGTCAGCATAAGCATGATGCCATTATACACAGATGGTAGACTCTATAGTGGAATAGCAACTCAAAAAAGATTATTGAGAGAACTCTGGCACCTCTACCAAGTACCCCTCCTGAAATAGGGATGGGTTGATGTTTAAACATCAACATGATGGTTATATTGATTGACATAATATGTTGTCCAGTTGAAATTATCATCAAATTTAGAGTTATAAACAGACTGATATAAATTGAGAATGACTATTCATGACTTGCCAAAGATCATATAGTGGTATCAATATGACATGGAGTGCAAATAATGATAATGAGTAACAATGATATCCTTTATTTAGATTTAAATTAGTTAGAGCACTAATTGTTATGTTTAGTATTAGTATAACAAACTCTTGTTGTCAAGGTATTGATGTAGAGATAGTGATAAAAAAAGTTTTAAACATGACAACATAAATAAAATACTGAAAAAGAAATTTTCCCCATAAAGCATCTTTTAACTAATACTAATACTAAGTGCCAAATTATCATAAATACTATTACCATTGATAAAATTTGAGGTTTATAATCAACCTCAAAATATTATTTATGGGTGTTAGTGAAGTGAATCAACTGTCTTGATAATTATCAGCAAATTTCAATGAATTAACAAGTCTGGCACCACAAACTTTGTATGCATTACTGTTACAGTCCATTGGACATTTTAATTTCCCCTGACTTTAAATGACATGTTGAAAGTCTCTAATAAGTTTTTTTTTAGATAGATAATAGAATCTTCCTACATTGAATCATTGAGAAAATAACATATATCTGAGACATTATTATTATTCTCAAAAAAGTCTTTTCAATATAATATGTTTTGGCACTTCCTCACCCAATAGGAGCAAAGCATCTTAAAATTTTTCAATTTCTGAAACTTGCTGTTGTATTGTTTGTTCTTCCAACAGAATTATTCTGAGAATTCAAAGAAGTCAGAGTCGAATTTGATTCTGGAGCCTTTGCCAAAGTAAACACTGTATCTCCAATTTGATTATTCAAAAGTCCAATAGAAGTCAGATGTTGAATTTGATTCTAGTACTAGAGTCTTTGCTTTGCTTTTGTATTTCCAACTTGATTCCCAACTTGATTATTCCAAAGATCCAAAGAATAAGAAGTCAGAGAAGAATTTGAAGCTAAAGCCTTTGTCAAAGCTTTTGCTCCTGTATCTCCAATTTGATTATCCTGAAGAGCCAAAAAAGACAGAGTTGAATTTGATGCTAGAACCCTTGCCAAAGCTGTTGCTCCCATATCTCCAATTTGATTATATCTAAGATTCAAGGAAGTCAGAGAAGAATTCGATTCTAGACCCCTTGCCAAAGCTGTTGCTCCTGTATCTTCAATCTGATTATTCCAAAGATCTAAAGAAGTCAGAGTTGAATTTGATTCTAGAGCCTTTGCCAAAGCTGTTGCTCCTATATATCCAATTTGATTGCCCAGAAGATCTAAAGAAGTCAGAGTTGAATTTGATTCTAAACCCTTTGCCAAGCTGTTGCTCCCATATCTCCAATTTGATTATATCTAATATTCAAAGAAGTCAGAAAAGAATTTGATTCTAGAGCCTTTGCCAAAGCTGTTGCTCCTGTATCTCCAATTTGATTATCCTGAAGATCTAAAGAAGTCAGAGTTGAATTTGATTCTAGAGCCTTTGCCAAAGTTGTTGCTCCTAGTACCTCCAATTTCATTATATCTAAGATTCAAAAAAGCCAATGAGGAATTTATATTTAGAGCCTTTGCCAAAGCTGTTGCTCCTGTAACTCCAATTTGATTCTCCTATAAATTTAAAGAAGTCAGAGTTGAATTTGAGTCTAGAGCCTTTGCCAAAGCCATTGCTCCTGTAACTCCAATTTGATTCTCCTGTAAATTTAAAGAAGTCAGAGTTGAATTTGATTCTAGAGCTTTTGCCAAAGCTGTTGCTCCTGTAGCTCCAATTTGGTTATACTAATACTGGAGATCCAAAAAAGTCAGAGTTGAATTTAATTCTAGAGCTTTTGCCAAAGCCGTGCTGCTGTTACTATATATATATTAATATACCCAATTTGATTATTTTGAAGGTTCAAATCAGTTAGAGATGAATTTGACTCTAGAGTCTTTGCTAAAGCTGTTGCGCCTATATATCCAATTTGATTAGACCAGAGGTTCAAAAAAGTCAAAGTTGAATTTGATTCTAGAGCCTTTGCCAAAGCTGTTGCTCCAGTATGTCTAATTGATTATATCTAAGATTCAAAGAAGTCAGAGAAGAATTTAATTCTAGAGCTTTTGCCAAAGATGTTGCTCCTGTATCTCCAATCTTATTATCATTTAAATATAATGAAGTCAGAAAAAAATTTAATTTAGAGCCTTGGCCAAAAGCTGTTGCTCCTGTATCTCCTATTTGAGTATTCATAAGATTTAAAGAAATCAGAGTTGAATTTGATTTAAGAGCCTTTGCCAAAGCTGTTGCTCCTGTATCTTCAATTTGATTATTCCAAAGAACCAAAGAAGTCAAAGATGAATTTGATTCCAGAGCTTCTGCCAAAGCAGTCACTCCTGTATCTCCAATTTGATTATCCCAAAGAACCAATAAAGTCAAAAAAGAATTTGATTTTAGAGCCTTGGCTAAAGCTGTTGCCCCTGTATCTCCAATATGATTATTCAGAAGATTCAAAGAAGTTAGAAAGAATTTGATTCTAGAGCTTTTGCAAAAGCTGTTGCTTCTGTAGCTCCAATTTGATTGGACTGGAGATTTAGAGAAAAAGTGGAGAAATAGAAAGTGGAGAAATTTAATTTTAAATTTTTTATTTTGTCAACATTTTAGCTCCCACATCTCCAATACAATGTTCCCTAAAATCTAATATTGATATTAATATATGATAATAAACATTCATTTTCTGCTTCCAATTGATCAAACAAAGATGACAACTGTCTGGAAAGAGTTCCATTTGGTTTGATCTTCAAGAGCTCATTAATGTCATCCAGTGCTTTCTTATACTCACAAATTTTAAGATAAATGGTTGCTCTTCTGTACAATATATTTGCATTATTTTCTGGTTGAATTTCTAGCAACTTGTTAAAATTAGCTAATGCTTTAGTATATAGCTTGAGAGCATAATAGATATTTCCTCTTACTCTCAATGCAGACACATTGTTAGGTTCAACATTTAAAAATTTATGCAAATTTCTCAATGCATTCTCATCAAAGCTGTTATCTCCATTTTCCTTTAATATAATAAATAAGCAACTTGGATCTGTTCCTAACAATTTATCAAGATCAGACAATGCATGGTCACATTGGTCAAGCATAAGATAAACATATCCTCTTAATATTAAATATTGTTCCATTATATCAGTTGATTTGTTTT